AAGAATAAGCTGGATGCTGTGGTGGACGCTAATACGAAGAAAGAGAAGATAGTGTCCGAGCTAGCGGATAAGGTAGCGGGGGGGATATGCATATGGGAAAATCTACATTTGTCGATGAAAATATGGAAATTTGGGAAAATTCTCAGTGGTTTTTGGTACTTTTGTACCGTGATTTGTTGGAAAACTGTTGGTCTCAGCTGAGGAAAGCGAAAATGTTTTCCGACACTGGTAGTTGTATTATATATCGTGTGATGGTGATGCTCATAAGTGTGATTGACACATGCGTGCAGAGGACTATACCCAGAGTTTAATAGGCTCACTTTCGAGAGTTGGAGTTGATCATTTTACTTTATGAATACTCGATCGGTGTTGGATAAACATTGGAGTTTCATCCGAGGTATGGCTGGTTGAGGTTGATGATGAACTATAATCTATCGTGTCTAACGTGTATAATTCTGTTTTTCAAAAAAACAATCCCGAGGTATGAAAAACAGCAGTGAAAAACATATTTTACGTGTAAGGGTGAGCGGAGTTGGCAGGTTCGTGAAATGAGCGCTGACGCGGTGAAACCAACATCGGACAACTCCTCCCAGATGAGGCAGGTTAGAGTATTGGAGAATCGTTTGGACAAGACACTTGTGAAGTGGGAAGGGGAGGGGTGGGAGCAGCTGGTCGCATAGGGTGGTTAGATTCAATGAGGCGCAGTCTATCAAGAGGACGTATGAGCAGATCCTGAGAAGGCTGGAGGAAGAGCGGATTAACTTTGATAATCAGTTGCATGCAGTGGAACGTAGTAGTGGTAGTTTTGGGAGGGGGAGTATATGTATAGTATAGGCACGTTGAAATCGAAGGAGAACGACTATGAAGAGTTACTGTTGCTGTCGCATGATGCATATCACGCTAAGGAGATGGCGCAGGCGGAGCTGCATAGGTTTGAACAAGGAGTGATGGAGGAGAGAAACCAGCGGGATAAGGTAGCTGGGTGATAATTTTATGGGGCAGTGACGGTGGTTGGAGTAGGAAGTTCATGAGAAGAAGGCGTTGGTTCAGCAGCGTGTCGAGATGAATCATCGATTGGAACAGCGAGAGCGTCTTCTGAAGCAACAGCAAGAATTGGAAAAATCGGGAGAGTTGGCGTTGAAGACTACTAAAGCTGTTGCCGATGTGGCGGCGGGAATGACCCATAGAGTGGCTGAGGAGGAGAGGAAAAGGATGGACGATTACGAGGAGGCGTTTAGGAGGATAAAGGAGGCGACTGGCGTTAGCGATGTGAATGAGGTCATCCAGAAATTCCTAAATCAGGAGGGCACTCAAAGTAGTTTATTGAGCCTCGCAAATGAGTACCAAGAGAAAATAAATCGTCTTATTAATGAGTATACTACGTTGAAGGCTAGGGTGGATGATATGAAGTACTCGGCGAGTGGTACTACGGCTGGTGGAAGGGAGGTACAGTTGGGTCGCGCCTCTTGGTTCTGTCCTGGCACGTTAGTTGGGCACGAATGCGTTCTATAAAGGGGAAGTGTCATAGATTTCCATTCCAATTATGTACTATACTCTAATATTAGAATACGTTTTGGAGATGTTACGGTAGGACTTCATTGAACAATTTTCCCATTTTTCAGATGGCGGAGGAGTTGGAGAAGCGACTGGCTGAGTCTATAGTAGAAGCGGAGCGAAACAAGACTAAGTATGAGCGGTTGTCGAAAATGATGGTAGCTGTGAACGCAGGTGGGTACAATAGGGCAACTCATGGTGTTTATGGAGGTGGAGTTTTTAGGAGTATTTCATCTGGCGGGGAAGTTGGAGGCAGTGGATTTGGGAGAAGAGGCGCTCGTGGAAGCAACAGAGGGCGGCGGCGGTGCGGTAGAGAGAGTCCTATCACAGGTGGAGTTAAAGTTGTCTAAATTGGCGAACCTTATCCACTGGAGCTCTGGGGCTAGTAAGAAGATAGTATCAGCGTCAGAAGCGGCGTATTTTGAGGAGAGGGTGTTGGACAAAATTGCTGATGTCCGGTCGGGGCTGTTGAGAGTTCGAATTGCTGATGAAGACGAGGAGGGAGAGGAGGAAGAGGTGAGGGGAGGGTCGTGGAGCTTGGAGGGAAAATTTCAGGAATTTATATTTTTCATGTTATTAATTCTTTATATTTTATGCCTATATTTGTAATATGTTGGAGTTTCACTCTAGTGATATTGAAAACACTAGTGAAAACATGTTTCATAAACTACTGCATATCACCGCGAATATCACGTTTTTCACGGACTATTTCGCCACTTCACATGAAGCGGGTGAAACTCCATTAGATATTATTCCTCTACACTATAGGGTGCAATTCTCGTGCTGTTGTTGAGCATTCCCGTGGGGACATATACTGT